CTTGTTAAGATTATGTATACCGTGTTATATATATTCTCGGAAATCACTGCATTCTTACATTTTTTGGCTAACTGAGATCTTTCATTCGAAGACATATTTTTCTTTCAACAGTCACGAAGAAATTGCAAAAGCTGAACAGATTTCTGTATTCAACATTCCTTTTCTTTCCGGTCAGAAAGCTCAAGAGTGACTTTCTCGGTCTTCTCGCGCCACCATAGCTCAGAGGTTAGAGCACTGGTCTCGTAAACCAGGGGTCGCGAGTTCGAATCTCGCTGGTGGCTTAGTTATCTGTGTCTTAAACATTACACAATCTTTGCTTCATGCTCATTGGTTGGCTGTGGGTTTAATCTTGTTCAGATTATGTATACAGTGCCATATATATTCTCGGAAATCACAGCGTTCTTACATTTTTTGGCTAACTGATATCTTTCATTCGAAAAAATATTTTTCTTTCAACAGTCTAGAAGAAATTGCAAAACCTGAACAGATTTCTGTATTCAACATTTATTTTCTGTCCAGTCATTTGTCCGAAATCTGAAGAATGACATTCGCAGCCTCACGGCGCAACCATAGCTCAGATGTTAGAGCACTGATCTCGTAAACCAGGGGTCGCGAGTTCGAATCTCGCTGGTGGCTTATTTATCTGTGTCTTAAACATGACACAACCTTTGCTTCATGCTGATTGGTTGGCTGTGAGTTTAATCTTGAAAAGATTATGTATCCCATGTCCTTTATATTCTTGGAAATGACAAGGTTCTGATATTTTTTGGCTAACTGAGGTCTTTCATTCGAAAAAATATTTTTCTCTCAACAGTCTCGAAGATATTGCAAAACCTGAACTGATTTCTGAATTTAACATTCGTTTTCTTTCCGGTCATTTGTCCGAAAGGTGAAGACTGACATTCGTAGTCTCAAGGCGCCACCATAGCTCAGAGGTTAGAGCACTGGTCTCGTAAACCAGGGGTTGCGTGTTCGATTCTCGCTGTTGGCTCATTTATCTGTGTCTTATACATGCCACAACTTCTGCTTCATGCTCATTGGTTGGGTGTGGGATTAATCTTGTAAAGATTATATATCCCGTGTAGTTTATATTCTTGTAAATAGCTATGTTCTTACATTTTTTGGATTACTAAGGTCTTTCATTCGAAACAATTTTTTTTCTCCAACTGCCTCGAAGAAATTGCAAAACCTGAACTGATTTCTGTATTCAAACTTCCTTTTCTGTCCTTTCAGAAAGCTCAAGAGTGACTTTCGCGGTCTCCTCGCGCCACCATAGCTTAGAGGTTAGAGCACTGGTCTCGTAAACCATTGGTCGCGAGTTCGAATCTCGCTGGTGGTTTATTTATCTGTGTCTTATACATGCCACAACCTTTGCTTCATGCTCATTGGTTGGTTGTGGGATTAATCTTGTTAAGATTATGTATACCGTGTCATATATATTCTCGGAAATCACAGCGTTCTTACATTTTTTGGCTAGCCTAGATCTTTCATTCGAAAAAATATTTTTCATTCAACTGTCTAGAAGAAATTGCAAAACCTGAACAGATTTCTGTATTCAACATTCGTTTTCTGTCCAGTCATTTGTCCGAAAGCTGAAGAATGACATTCGCAGCCTCACGGCGCCACCATAGCTCAGAGAATAGAGCACTGGTCTCGTAAACCAGGGGTCGCGAGTTCGAATCTCGCTAGTGGCTTATTTATCTGTGTCTTATACATGCCACATCCTTTGATTCATGCTCATTGCTTGGTTGTGGGTTTCATATTGTTAAGATTATGTATACCGTGTCATATATATTCTAGGAAATCACAGCGTTCTTACATTTTTGGGCTAGCTGAGATCTTTCATTCGAAAAAATATTTTTCATTCAACAGTCTAGAAGAAATTGCAAAACCTGAACAGATTTCTGTATTCAACATTCGTTTTCTGTCCAGTCATTTGTCCGAAAGCTGAAGAATGACATTCGCAGCCTCACGGCGCCACCATAGTTCAGAGGTTAGAGCACAGGTCTCGTAAACCAGGGGTCGCGAGTTCGAATCTCGATGGTGGCTTATTTATCTGTGTCTTATACATGCCACAACCTTTGCTTCATGCTCATTGGTTGGTTGTGGGATTAATCTTGTTAAGATTATGTATACCGTGTCATATATATTCTCGGAAATCACAGCGTTCTTACATTTTTTGGCTAACTGAGATCTTTCATTCGAAAAAATATTTTTCTTTCAACAGTCTAAAGGAAATTGCAAAGCCTGAACAGATTTCTGTATTCAACAATCGTTTTCTGTCCAGTCAGTTGTCCGAAAGCTGAAGAATGACATTCGCAGCCTCACGGCGCCACCATAGCTCAAAGGGTAGAGGACTGGTCTCGTAAAATAGGGGTCGCGAATTCGAATCTCGCTGGGGGCTTATTTATCTGTGTCTTATACATGCCACATCTTCTTCTGCATGCTCATTCCTTGGTTGTGAGTTTAATCTTGTTAAGATTATGTATACCGTGTTATATATATTCTCGGAAATCACTGCATTCTTACATTTTTTGGCTAACTGAGATCTTTCATTCGAAAAAATATTTTTCTTTCAACAGTCTCGAAGAAATTGCAAAACCTGAACTTATTTCTGTATTCAACATTCCTTTTCTGTCCGGTCAGAAAGCTCAAGAGTGACTTTCTCGGTCTTCTCGCGCCACCATAGCTCAGAGGTTAGAGCACTGGTCTCGTAAACCAGGGGTCGCGAGTTCGAATCTCGCTGGTGGCTTATTTATCTGTGTCTTAAACATGACGCAACCTTTGCTTCATGCTCATTGGTTGGCTGTGGGTTTAATCTTATTAAGTATACCGTGTCTTATATATTCTCGGAAATCACAGCGTTCTTACATTTTTTGGCTAACTGAGATCTTTCATTCGAAAAAATATTTTTCTTTCAACAGTCTAGAAGAAATTGCAAAACCTGAACAGATTTCTGTATTCAACATTCATTTTCTGTCCAGTCATTTGTCCGAAATCTGAAGAATGACATTCGCAGCCTCACGGCGCCACCATAGCTCAGAGGGTAGAGGACTGGTCTCGTAAACCAGGGGTCGCGAATTCGAATCTCGCTGGGGGCTTATTTATCTGTGTCTTATACATGCCACATCCTTTGCTTCATGCTCATTCCTTGGTTGTGAGTTTAATCTTGTTAAGATTACCAAGTTACGTATTGCTCTCTAACCTCTGAGCTATGGTGGCGCAGGAGATGCGAATGTCATTATTAGCTGACATGACTGGACAGAAAACGAATGTTGAATGACAGAAATTGTTCAGGTTTTGAAATTCTCTAGACTGTTGAATGAAAAATATTTTTTCGAATGAAAGATTCCAGCCACAAAATGTAAGAACCTGTGATTTCCGAGAATATATATGACACGGTATACATAATCTTAACAAGATTAAACCCACAACCAACAATGAGATGAAGCAAAGGTTGTGGCATGTATAGACACAGATAAAAGCCACCAGCGAGATTCGAACTGCGACCCTGGTTTATAGATCCATGCTCTAACCTCTGAGTATGGTGGCGAGAGGCTGCGAATGTCATTTCAGATCTGGACATGACTGGACAGAAAATGAATGTTGTGACAGAAATCTGTTCAGGTTTTGCAATTTTCTAGACTGTTGGAAAGAAAAATATTTTTCAATGAAAGACCTTCAGTTAGCCAAAAATGTAAGAACGCTGTGATTTCGAGAATATATAAGACACGGTATACATAATCTTAACAGATTAAACCCACACCAAGCAATGAGCATGAAGAAAGGTGTGGTATAGACCAGATAATAAGACCAGCGAGATCTGAACCGGACCCTGGTTTACGAGACAGTGCTCTAACCTCTGAGCTTTGGGGGGCGGATGAGACTACGAATCATCTTCTCACTTTCGGACAAATGACGAGAAAAAAACGAATGTGAATACAGAATCAGTTCAGGTTTTGCAATTTCGAGACTGTTGAGAGAAAATATTTTTTTCAATGAAAATCTCAGTTAGCCAAAAATGTAATAACCTTGTCATTTCCAAGAATATAAAGGACATGGGATACATAATCTTTTCAAGATTAAACCACAACCAGAATGAGCATGAAGCAGAGGTGTGCATGTATAAGACAGATAAATAAGCACCAGGGAGATCGAACTCGCGACCCTGGTTTACGAGACCAGTGCTCTACTCTGAGCTATAGTGGCGCGAGGAGACCAACAGAACTCTTGAGCTTTTGACCCGAAGAAAAGGAATGTTGAATCAGAAATAAGTTCAGGTTTTGCATTTCTTCGAGACTGGTTAAGAAAAAAATATTTTTCGAATGAAAGATCTCAGTAGCCAAAAAAAAATGTAAGAACACTGTGATTTCCGAGAATATATATGACACGGTATACATAATCTTAAAGATTAACCACAACCAAGAATGAGCATGAAGCAAAGGTTGTGTGCATGTTAAGACACAGATAAAAGCCACCAGCGAGATTCGAACTGCGACCCTGGTTTACGAGACCAGTGCTCTAACCTCTGAGCTATGGTGGCGCCGTGAGGCTGCGAATGTCATTATTCAGCTGACAAATGACTGGACAGAAAAGAATGTTGAATACAAGAAATCTGTTCAGGTTTTGCAATTTCTTCTAGACTGTTGAAAGAAATATTTTTTTCGAATGAAAGATTATCAGTTAGCAAAAATGAAGAAGCTGTGATTTCCGAGAATATATATGACACGGTATACATAATCTAACAGATATAAACCACACCAACCAATGAGCATGAAGAAAAGGATGTGGATGATAAGACACAGATAAATAAGCCACCACGAGATTCGAACTCGCGACCCGGTTACGAGACCAGTGCTCAACCTCTGAGCTATGGTGGCGCTGAGACATGAATGTCATCTTCATTTCGGACAAATGACTGAAGAAAACGAATGTTGAAACAGAAATCAGTTCAGGTTTTGCAATTCTTCAGACTGTTGAAGAAAATATTTTTTCGAATGAAATCTCAGTTAGCCAAAAATGTAAAACCTTGTTTCCAGAATATAAAAATGGGATACATAATCTTCAAGATTAAACCACAACCAAGAATGAGCATGAAGCAAGGTTGTGGCATGTATAAGACAGATAAATAAGCAACCAGGAGATTCGAACTGCGACCCTGGTTTACGAGACCAGTGTGCTCTACCTCTGAGCTATGTGGCGCGAGGAGACCGCGAAAGTACTCTTGAGCTTTCTGGACCCGAAGAAAAGAATGTTGAACAGAAATAAGTTCAGGTTTTGCAATTTCTTCGAGACTGTTGAAAAAAATATTTTTCGAATGAAAGACTCAGTAGCCAAAAATGTAAGAACCTGTGATTTCAGAATATATGACATGGTATACATAATCTACAAGATTAAAACCACAACCAAGAAATAATGAAGCAAAAGGTTGGTATTAAGACAGATAAAAGCCACCAGCGAGATTCGAACTCAGCCCCTGGTTTACGAGACCAGTGCTCTAACCTCTGAGCTATGGTGGCGCGTGAGAGCTGGCAAGTCATTTTAGCTGGACTGACGGACAGAAAAGAATGTGAATAAGAAATTGTTCAGGTTTTGCAATTTCTTCAGACTGTTGAAGAAAAATATTTTTCGAATGAAAGATATCAGTTAGCCAAAAAAATGTAAGAACGCTGTGATTTCCGAGAATATATATGACACGGTATACATAATCTTAACAATAAGATAAACCCACACCAAGCAAACGTGAAGAAAGGATGGGCATGTATAAGACAAGATAAATAAGCCACCAGAGAGATTCGAACTCGCGACCCCGGTTTACGAGACCAGTGCTCTAACCTCTGAGCTATATGGTGGCGGCATGAGACTCGAATCATCTTCACTTTCGGACAGACGGAAGAAAGAATGTTGAATACAGAAATGTTCAGGTTTGCAATTCTTCTAGACTGTTGAAGAAAATATTTTTTTCGAATGAAAGATCTCAGTAGCCAAAAAATGTAAAACCTTGTGATTTCCAAGAATATAAAGACATGTGGATACATAATCTTTCAAGATTAAACCACAACAACGAAGAGCATGAAGCAAGGTGTAGCATGTAAGAACAGATAAATAAGCCACCAGGAGATTCGAACTCGCGACCCTGGTTTACGAGACCAGTGCTTACCTCTGAGCTATGTGGCGCGAGGAGACCGAAAGTCATCTTGAGCTTTCTGACCGACAGAAAAGAATGTGAATACAGAAATAAGTCTGGTTTTGCAATTCTTCGAGACTGTTGAAGAAAAATATTTTTCGAATGAAAGACTTAGCCAAAAAATTAGAACCTGATTTCCAGAATATAAAGACAGGATACATAATCTTACAAATAAACCCACAACCAAGCAATGAGCATAAGAAAAGGTGTGGTATGTATAAGACAGATAAATAAGCCACCAGCGAGATTGAACTCGCGACCTGGTTTACGAGACCAGTGCTCTAACCTCTGAGCTATGGTGGCGCGTGAGGCAGCAATGTCATCTTCTTCAGATTTCACAAATGACTGACACAGAAATGAATGTGAATACAGAAATCTGTTCAGGTTTTGCAATTTTTCTAGACTGTTGAAGAAAAATATTTTTTCGAAGAGATCTCAGTAGCAAAATGTAAGAACGCTGTGATTTGAATATATATGACACGGATATATAATCTTACAAGATTAAACCACAGCCAACCAATCAGCAGAAGAAAAGGTTGCATGTTTAAGACAAGATAAATAAGCACCAGCGAGATTCGAACTCGCGACCCTGGTTTACGAGACCAGTGCTCTAACCTCTGAGCTATGGTGGCGCCGGAGGCGCGAAAGTCATTATTGCTTTCGGACATGACTGGACAGAAAAGAATGTTGAATACAGAAATGTTCAGGTTTTGCAATTTCTTCAGACTGTTGAAGAAAAAATATTTTTCGAATGAAAGATCTCAGTAGCAAAATGTAAGAACGCTGTGATTTCAAGTATATATGACACGGATACATAATCTTAACAATATAAACCCACACCAAGCAATGAGCATGAAGAAAAAGGATGTATGTATAAGACGATAATAAGCCACCAGCGAGATTCGAACCCCGACCCCTGGTTTACGAGACCAGTGCTCTAACCTCTGAGCTTTGGTGGCGCATGAGACTCACGAATGTCATCTCTACTTTCGGACAAATGACTGGAAGAAAACGAATGTTGAATACAGAAATCAGTTCAGGTTTTGCAATTTTCGAGACTGTTGAGAAAATATTTTTCGAATGAAAAATCTCAGTTAGCCAAAAAATGTAATAACCTTGATTTCCAAGAATATAAAGACAGGGAACATAATCTTTTCAAGATTAAACTCACAACGGAATGAGAATGAAGCAGAGGTGTGGCATGTATAAGACAGCAACAAGAATAAAGCAAGGAATTCGAACCTCGCCCCTGGTTTAGAGACCAGTGCTCTACATCTGAGTATAGTGGCGCGAGGAGTCAGAAAGTCACTCTTGAGCTTTCTGACCCGAAGAAAAGGAATGTTGAATCAGAAATAAGTTCAGGTTTTGCAATTTCTTCGAGACTGTTAAATAAAAAATATTTTTCGAATGAAAGATCTCAGTAGCCAAAAAATGTAAGAACTGTGATTTCCGAGAATATATATGACAGATACATAATCTAACAAGATTAAACCCACAAACCAAGCGAATGAGCATGAAGCAAAGGTGTGTCATGTTAAGACAAGATAAATAAGCCACAGCGAGATTCGAACTGCGACCCTGGTTTACGAGACCAGGTGCTCTAACCTCTGACTATGGTGGCGCGGAGGCGCGAATGTCATATTCAGCTTCGACATGACGACAGAAAAGAGTTGAATACAGAAATCTGTTCAGGTTTTGCATTTCTAGACTGTTGAAGAAAAATTTTGAATGAAAGATCTAGTTAGCAAGTAAGAACGCGTATTTGAGAATATATGACACGGTATACAAATCTTCAAGATTAAACCCACAACCAACAGAATACATGAAGCAGTTGTGGTACTGTATAAGAACAGATAAATAAACCACGAGATTCGAACTCGCGACCCTGGTTTACGAGACGTGCTCTAACCTCTGAGCTATGGTGGGCGGAGGCGGAGAATGTCATCTTCGAGCTTTCGTGACGGACAGAAAAGAATTGAATACAGAAATCTGTTCAGGTTTTGCAATTCTTCTAGACTGTTGAAGAAAAATATTTTTTCAATGAAAGATATCAGTAGCCAAAATGTAAGAACCTGTGATTTGAAATATATATGACACGTACATAATCAACAATATGAAACCCACCAAGCAAATAATGAAGAAAAGGATGTGGTGTATAAGACAGATAAATAAACCACCAACGAGATTCGAACTCGCGACTGGTTTATGAGACCAGTCTCAACCTCTGAGCTTGGTGGCGGGTACGAGACTAACGCTCTTCACTTTCGGACAAATGACCGGAAGAAACGAATGTTGAATACAGAAATCAGTTCAGGTTTGCAATTCTGAGACTGTTGAAGAAAAATATTTTTTCGAATGAAAGATCTCAGTTAGCCAAAAAATGTAAAACCTGTATTTCCAGAATATATAAGACAGGATATACATAATCTTTCAAGATTAAACTCACAACACAAATGAGCATGAAGCAGAGGTGTGGATGTATAGAACAGATAAAAAAAAGCCACAGAGATTCGAACTCCGACCCTGGTTTACGAGACCAGTGCTCTACCTCTGAGCTATGTGGCGCGAGGAGACGCGAAAGTCACTTTTGAGCTTTCTGACCGGACAGAAAAGAATGTTGAATACAGAAATAGTCTAGGTTTTGCAATTCTTCGAGCTGTTAGGGAAAATATTTTTTCGAATGAAAGATCTCAGTTACCAAAAATGTAGAACTGTGATTTCCGAGAATATATATGACACGGTATACATAATCTAACAATATAAACCCACAAAGCAATGAGCATGAAGAAAGATGTGGCATGTATAAGACACAGATAAATAAGCCACCAGCGAGATTCGAACTCGCGACCCCTGGTTTACGAGACCAGCTCTAACCTCTGAGCTATGGTGTGGGAGACCTGAAAGTCACTCTGAGCTTTCAATTTGACAGAAAAGAATGTTGAATACAGAAATAGTTCAGGTTTTGCAATTTCTTCGAGCAGTTGGAGAAAAATATTTTTCGAATGAAATACTTAGTAACAAAATGTAAGAACATGTGATTTCAAGAATATAAACTCGGATATAAATCTTACAAGATTAAACCCACAACAACCAATGAGCATGAAGCAAGGTGTGGCTGTATAAGAACGATAAATAGCACCAGCGAGATTCGAACTCGCGACCCCTGGTATTTAGAGACCAGTGCTAACCTCTGAGCTATGGTGGCGGAGGGACCGCGAAAGTCACTTCTGAGCTTTCTGACCGGACAGAAAGGAAGTGAAACAGAAATAAGTCTTGTTTTGCATCTTCTAGACTGTTGAAGAAAAATATTTTTTTCGAATGAAAGATCTCAGTAGCCAAAAAAATGTAAGAACTGTGATTTGAGAATATATATGACACGGTATACATAATCTTAACAAATTAAACCCACAACAAGAATGAGCATGAAGCAAGAAGGTGTGTATTAAGACAGATAAATAAGCCACCAGCGAGATTCGAACTCGCGACCCTGGTTTACGAGACCAGTGCTCTAACCTCTGAGCTATGGTGGCGCTGAGGGCTGCGAATGTCATTTTCAGCTTTCGGACAATGACGGACAGAAAACGAATGTTGAATGAAATCTGTTAGGTTTTGCAATTTCTTCTAGACTGTTGAAGAAAAATATTTTTCGAATGAAAGATTCAGTTAGCCAAAAATGTAGAACCTTGTATTTCCAGAATATAAAAGATATGGATACATAATCTTTCAAGATTAAACCACAACAAGAATGAGCATGAAGGAAAGGTTGTAGCATGTAAGAACAAATAAAAGCCACCAGGAGATTCGACTCGCGACCCTGTTTACGAGACCAGTGCTTACCTCTGACTAAGTGGCGCGAGGAAACCGTGAAAGTCATCTTGAGCTTTCGACCGACAGAAAGAATGTGAAAACAGAAATAAGTTCAGGTTTTGCAATATTCTTCGAGACTGTTGAGAGAAAAATATTTTTTCGAATGAAAGACTCAGTTAGCCAAAAATGTAAGAATGTATTTCCAGAATATATATGACAGGATACATAATCTTAAAAGATTAAAACCCACAACCAACGCAATGAGCATGAAGCAAGGTTGTTATGGCAGATACAGATAAATAGCCACCAGCGAGATTCGAACTCGCGACCCTGGTTTACGAGACCAGTGCTCTAACCTCTGAGCTATGGTGGCGCCGTGAGGCAGCAAAGTCATTCTTCAGCTTTCGGACAAATGACTGGACAGAAAAGAATGTTGAATACAGAAATCTGTTCAGGTTTTGCAATTTCTTCTAGACTGTTGAAAGAAAATATTTTTTCGATGAAAGATCTCAGTTAGCAAAAATGTAAGAACGCTGTGATTTCGAGAATATATATGACAGGTATACATAATCTTAAATATGAAACCCAACAAGCAAATGAGCATGAAGAAAAGATGTGGCATGTATAAGACACAGATAAATAAGCCACCAGCGAGATTCGAACTCGCGACCCCTGGTTTACGAGACCATAACCTCTGAGCTATGGTGGCGCGAGGCCGCGGAATGCTCTCTTCAGCTGACAATGACTGACAGAAAGAATGTTGAATACAGAAATCTGTTCAGGTTTGCAATTTCTTCTAGACTGTTGAAGAAAAATATTTTTTCGAATAAAAGATCTCAGTAGCCAAAATGTAAGAACGCTGTGATTTGAGAATATATATGACACGGTATACATAATCTTAACAAGATTAAACCACACAACAATAGCATGAAGCAAAGGTTGTTATGTTTAGAACAGATAAATAAGCCACCAGGAGATTCGAACTCGCGACCCTGGTTTAGAGAACAGTGCTCTAACCTCTGAGCTATGGTGGCCCGTGAGGTGCAAATGTCATCTTCAGATTTCGACAAATGACTGGACAGAAAACGAATGTTGAATACAGAAATCTGTTCAGGTTTTGCAATTTCTTCAGACTGTTGAAAGAAAAAATTTTTCGAATGAAAGATATCAGTTAAAAAAATGTAAGAACGCTGTGATTTCCAGAATATATATGACACGGTATACATAATCTTACAAGATTAAACCCACACCAACAATGAGCATGAAGCAAAGGTTGTGTCATGTTTAAGACACAGATAAAAGCCACCAGCGAGATTGAACTGCGACCCTGGTTTACGAGACCAGTGCTCTAACCTCTGAGCTATGGGGCGCAGGAGACCGCGAAAGTCACTTGACTTTTGACCGGACAGAAAAGGAAGTTTGAATACAGAAATAGTTCAGGTTTTGCAATTTCTTCGATAGTTTGAGAAAAAAAATTTTTCGAATGAAAGACCTTAGTACCAAAAAATGTAAGAACTGTGATTTCAAGAATATAAATACACGGGATATATAATCTTAAAGATTAAACCCACAACCAACAATGAGCATGAAGCAGAGGTTGTGGCTTGTATAAGAAACAGATAAATAGCCAACAGCGAGATCTGAACTCGCGACCCTGGTTTACGAGACCAGTGCTCTCCTCTGAGCTATGTGGCGCGAGGTCTGAACGAATCTCTGATTTCTGACAAATGACGGACAGAAAGAAATGTTGAATACAGAAATTGTTCAGGTTTGCAATTTCTTCTAGACTGTTGAAAGAAAAATATTTTTCGAATGAAAGATATCAGTAGCCAAAAATGTAAGAACGCTGTGATTTAGAATATATATGACACGGATACATAATCTTACAAGATTAAACCACACAACAATGAGCATGAAGCAAGGTTGTGTCATGTTTAGACAAGATAAATAAGCCACCAGCGAGATGAACTCGACCCCTGGTTTACGACAGTGCTCTAACCTCTGAGTATGGTGGCGCGAGAGACCAGAAAGTCACTCTTGAGCTTTCTGACCGACAGAAAAGAATGTGAAAACAGAAATAAGTTCAGGTTTTGCAATTTTTCGAGACTGTTGAAGAAAAATATTTTTTCGAATGAAAGATCAGTTAGCCAAAAAATTAGAACACTGTATTTCCAAGAATATAAAGACAGATACATAATCTTACAAGATTAAACCACAACCAAGAATGAGCATGAAGCAAGGATGTGGCATGTATAAGACACAGATAAATAAGACCAACGAGATTCGAACTGCGACCCCGGTTTACGAGAGAGTGCTCTAACCTCTGAGCTTGGTGGCGCTGAGAGACTCGAATACCTCACCTTCGGACAAATGACCGAGAAAACGAAAAGTTGAATACAGAAATAGTTCAGGTTTTGCAATTTCGAGACTGTTGAAGAAAAATATTTTTCTGAATGAAGATCTCAGTTAGCCAAAAAAGTAGAACCTTGATTTCCAAGAATATAAAACAGGATACATAATCCAAGATTAAACCTCACAACAAGAATGAGCATGAAGCAAGGTGTGGCATGTTTAGAACAGATAAAAAAGCCACCAGGAGATTCAACTCGCGACCCTGGTTTACGAGACCAGTGCTTACCTCTGAGCTATGTGGCGCGAGGAGACCGCGAAAGTCACTCTTGAGCTTTCTGACCCGAAGAAAAGAATGTGAAAACAGAAAGTTCAGGTTTTGCAATCTTCGAGACTGTTGAAGAAAAATATTTTTTCGAATGAAAGATCTAGTACCAAAAAAATGTAGAACCTGTGATTTCAGAATATAATACACGGTATACATAATCTTAACAATATAAACCACAACCAAGCAATGAGCATGAAGAAAGGTGTGGCATGTATAAACACAGATAAATAGCCACCAGCGAGATCTGAACTCGGACCCCTGGTTTACGAGACCAGTGCTCTAACCTCTGAGCTATGGTGGCGCGAGGAGACCGGAAAGTCACCTTTGTTTCTCACCGGACAGAAAAGAAAGTGAATACAGAAATAAGTTCAGGTTTTGCAATTTCTGAGGCAGTTGAGAAAAATATTTTTTCGAATGAAAACCTAGTAACCAAAATGTAAAACTGCTATTCAGAATATAATACACGGATATAACAAATCTTACAAGATTAAACCACAACAACCAATGAGATGAAGCAAGGTTGTATTTGTATAAGACACAGATAAATAGCCACCAGCGAGATCTGAACTCGACCCTGGTTTACGAGACCAGTGCTCTAACCTCTGAGCTATGGTGCGGCGCGAGGAGACCGCGAAGTCACCTTGAGCTTTTCGACCGGACAGAAAAGAAGTTTGAATACAGAAATAAGTTCAGGTTTTGCAATATCTTCGAGAACAGAGAAAAAATATTTTTTCAATGAAAGACCCAGTTAGCCAAAAAATTAGAACCTGTATTTCCAAAATAAAAATGACATGGATACATAATCTTAACAATATAAACCCACAACCAAGCAATGAGCATGAAGCAAAAGGATTGTATGTATAAGACCAGATAATACCATGAGATTCGAACCCGCGACCCGGTTTACAACCAGTCTCTAACCTCTGAGCTTGTGGGCGCATGAGCTGAAGTCACTTTCATTTCGACAAATGACGAGAAAAAACGAATGTTGAATACAGAAATCGTTCAGGTTTTGCAATTCTTCGAGACTGTTGAAGAAAAATATTTTTTCGAATGAAAACTTGTAGCCAAAAATGGAACCTGTATTTCAAGAATATAAAGGAGGGATACATAATCTTCAAGATTAAACCACAACAGAAAATGAGCATGAAGCAAAGGTTGTGCATGTATAGAACAAATAAATAAAAGCACCAGGAGATTCGAACTCGCGACCCTGGTTTAGAGACAGTTCACCTCTGAGCTAAGTGGCGCGAGGAAAACCTGAAAGTCACTCTTGAGCTTGACCGGACAGAAAAGAATGTGAAAACAGAAATAAGTTCAGGTTTGAATTCTTCGAGACTGTTGAAGAAAAATATTTTTCGAATGAAAAGACTCAGTAGCCAAAAATATAGAACCTGTATTTCCAAAAATATAGACAGGGATACATAATCTTAACAATTAAACCCACAACCAAGCAATGAGCATGAAGCAAAAGTGTGGCATGTATAAGACACAGATAAATAAGCCACCAGCGAGATTCGAACTCGCGACCCCTGGTTTACGGACCAGTGCTCTAACCTCTGAGCGTTGGCGCCGTGAGGCGCAAATGTCATTTTCAGATTTCGGACAAATGACTGGACAGAAAGAATGTTGAAGACAGAAATCTGTTCATGCAATTTTTCTAGACTGTTGAAGAAAAATATTTTTCGAATGAAAGATCTCAGTTAGCAAAAAATGTAGAACGCTGTGATTTCGAGAATATATATGACACGGTATCATAACTTAAAAATAAACCCACAACCAAGCAAAGCATGAAGCAAAAGGATGTGGCATGTATAAGACACAGATAAATAAGCCACCAGCGAGATTCGAACTCGCGACCCTGGTTTACGAGACCAGTGCTCTAACCTCTGAGCTATGGTGGGGAGGAGACCGCGAAAGTCATCTTGAGCTTTCTACCGACAGAAAAGGAAGTTTGAATACAGAAATAAGTTCAGGTTTTAATTTCTTCTAGACTGTTGAAGAAAAATATTTTTTCGAATGAAAGACCAGTAGCCAAAAAATGTAAGAATGCTGTGATTTCGAGAATATATAGAACACGGTATACATAATCTTAACAAATTAAACCCACAATCAAGAATGAGCATGAAGCAAAGGTTGTGTCAATGTTAGACACAGATAAATAAGCCACCAGCGAGATTCGAACTCGCGACCCCTGGTTTACGAGACCAGTGGCTCAACCTCTGAGCTATGGTGGCGCCGGAGGCTGCGAAGTCACTTCAGCTTTCGACAATGACGGACAGAAAACGAATGTGAATACAGAAATTGTTCAGGTTTTGCAATTTCTTCTAGACTGTTGAAAGAAAAATATTTTTTCGAATGAAAGAATCAGTTAGCAAAAATAAGAACCTGTGATTTCCAGAATATATATAGAACGAGACATAATCTTAACAATATAAACCCCAACCAAGCAATGAGCATGAAGAAAAGGTGTGGCATGTATAAGACACAGATAAATAAGACCACCAGCGAGATCTGAACTCGCGACCCCGGTTTACGAGACCAGTGCTCTAACCTCTGAGCTTGCATGCCTCATGAGACTGCGAAATGTCACTCATCGGACAATGACTGAGAAAACGAATGTTGAATACAGAAATAGTTCAGGTTTTGCAAATTTCGAGACTGTTGAGAAAAATATTTTTCGAATGAAAGACTAGTTAGCCAAAAAATGTAAAACCTTGATTTCCAAGAATATAAAGGACAGGGATACATAATCTTCAAGATTAAACCCACAACACAATGAGCATGAAGCAAAGGTGTCGTATAGACACAGATAAATAAACAACAGCGAGATTCGAACTCGCGACCCCTGGTTTACGAGACCAGCTACAGCCTCTGAGCTAGTGGCGCGAGGAGACCCGAAAGTTACTCTTGAGCTTTCTGACCGACAGAAAAGGAAATGAATACAGAAATAAGTTCAGGCTTTGTAAATTCTGAGACTGTGAAGAGAAAAATATTTTTTCGAATGAGAATTCAGTTAGCCAAAAAATTAGAACCTGATTTCAAGAATATAAAGACATTGGATACATAATCTTAACAGATATGAAACCCACAAGCCAAAAGCATGAAGCAAAAGGTGTGGCATGTATAAGACATACAGATAAATAAGCCACCAGCGAGATTCGAACTCGCGACCCTGGTTTACGAGACAGTGCTCAACCTCTGAGCTGGTGGGCCGTGAGGCAGCAAGCATTCTTCAGATTTCGGACAAAACGACTGACAGAAAATGAATGTGAAGACAGAAATTGTTCAGGTTTTGCAATTTTTCTAGACTGTTGAAGAAAAAATATTTTTTCGAATGAAAGATCTCAGTTAGCCAAAAAATGTAAGAACGCTGTGATTTCGAGAATATATATGACACGGTATCATAATCTTAACAAGATTAAACCCACACAACCAACAACATGAAGCAAAGGTTGTGCATGTTTAAGACACAGATAAATAAGCCACCAGCGAGATTCGAACTCGCGACCCTGGTTTACGAGACCAGTCTAACCTCTGAGCTATGGTGGCGCTGAGGCTGCGAATCATTCTTAGCTTTGGACAATGACTGACAGAAAACGAATGTTGAATACAGAAATTAGTTCAGGTTTTGCAATTTCTTTCAGACTGTTGAAGAAAAATATTTTTTCGAATGAAAGACTCAGTAGCCAAAATGTAAGAACTGTGATTTAGAGAATATATATGACACGACATAATCTTAACAAGATTAAACCCAAAACCAACCAATAATGAAGCAAAGGTTGTGGCATGTATAGACAAGATAACAAGCACCACGAGATTCGAACTCGCGACCCTGGTTTACGAGACCAGTGCTCTAACCTCTGAGTATAGGTTGAGAGGCTGCGAATGTCATTCTTCAGATTCGGACAAATGACTGACAGAAAACGAATGTTGAATACAGAAATCGTTCAGGTTTCAATTTTTCTAGACTGTTGAAAGAAAAATATTTTTTTCGAATGAAAGATTCTAGTTAGCCAAAAATGTAAGAACGCTGTGATTTCAGAGAATATATGACACGGATCATAATCTTAACAATATGAAACCCAAACCAAGCAATGAGCATGAAGAAAGGATGTGGTATGTATAAGACACAGATAATAAGCCAACAGCGAGATTCGAACCCGCGACCCCTGGTTTACGAGACCAGTGCTCTAACCTCTGAGCTTGGGTGGCGCAGAGACTGCGAAGTCCTCACTCTTTGACAAATGACCGACAGAAAAAAACGATGAATACAGAAATAGTTCAGGTTTGCAATTCTTCGAGACTGTGAAAGAAAAATATTTTTCGAATGAAAAGATCTCAGTAGCCAAAAAATGTAAGAACCTGTGATTTCCAGAATATAAAGGACACGGATACATAATCTTTCAAGATTAAACCCAACCAGAATGAGCATGAAGCAAAGGTTGTGGCATGGCAGATAAATAAAGCAACCAGCGAGATTCGAACTCGCGACCCTGGTTTACGAGACCAGTGCTCTAACCTCTGAGCTATGGTGGCGCGAGAGACCCGAAAGTCAACTTGAGCTTGACCGAGGAAGAAAAGAATGTTGAATCGAAATAAGTTCAGGTTTTGCAATTTCTTCTGAGACTGTTAAAATAAAAATACAATGAAAGACTCCAGTAGCCAAAAAATGTAAGAACGTGTGATTTCGAGAATATATATGGCCACGTACAAATAATCTTAAGCAAGAAACCCACAACCAAGGAATGAGCATGAAGCAAAGGTTGTGGTTTAAGACACAGATAAAAAGCCACCAGCGAGATCTGAACTCGCGATCGGTTTACGAGACCAGTGCTCTAACCTCTGAGCTCGGTGGCGCGGGAGCTCGAATGTCATTATTCAGTGATTGACGACAGAAAAGGAATGTTGAATACAGAAATTGTTCAGGTTTTGCAATTTCTTTCGAGACTGTTGAAGAAAATTTTTTTTTCGAATGAAAGCATCTAGTAGCCAAAAATGTAAGAACGCTGTGATTTCGAGAATATATATGACACGGTATACATAATCTTAACAAGATTAAACCCACAACCAACCAATGAGCATGAAGCAAAGGTTGTGGGTATGTAAGACACAGATAAATAAGCCACCAGCGAGATCTGAACTCGCACCCCTGGTTTACGAGACCGTGCTCTAACTCTGAGCTATGGTGGCGCGAGGTCGAATGTCATCTTCAGAGTTCGGACAAATGACCGGACAGAAAACGAATGTTGAATACAGAATAAGTTCAGGTTTTGCAATTCTTCGAGACTGTTGAAGAAAATATTTTTCGAATGAAAGATCCTTGAGCCAAAATGTAATAACCCGATTTCCAAGAATATAAAGGACATGGATACATAATCTTACAAGATTAACCTCACAACAAAGGAATGAGCATGAAAAGGTTGTGGATGTATAGATACACAGATAAATAAGCCACCAGGAGATTCGAACCTGGACCCTGGTTTACGAGACCAGTGCTTAACTCTGAGCTATGTGGCGCGAGGAGACCGCGAAAGTCACTCTTGAGCTTTCCTGAACGACAGAAAAGAATGTTGAAAACAGAAATAAGTTCAGGTTTTGCAATTTCTTCGAGACTGTCAAGAAAAAATATTTTTCTGAATGAAAATCAGTTAGCCAAAAAATGTAGAACGTTGATTTCGGAGAATATATATGACACGGTATACATAATCTTAACAGATTAAAACCCACAACCAACGCAATAGCATGAAGAAAGGTGGATGTATAAGACACAGATAAATAAGCCACTAGCGAGATTCGAACTGCGACCCGTTACGTACGACCAGTGCTCTAACCTCTGAAATGATGGTGGCGCGTAGGAGACCCGAAAGTCCTCTGAGCTTCGACCGACGAAAAAGAAGTTGAATACGAAATAAGTTCGCTTTGGTATTAATTTCGAGACAGTTGAAAAAAAAATTTTTCGAAGAAATATCTTATAATCCAAAAGATGTAAAACATAGTTATTTACAAGAATATAAACTACATGGATATAA